TTATACCCTTAATGAATAATTAAAAAATTGCAATATATAATTAGCTATAAATAAAAACGAATTTCAGTGGTTTAAGATTTATCCTTATCTAAAAATATTTTCTAATGTTTTAAATAGTCTTTATTAATCTTGAAAATAGTTTTATTTGTTAATATATAATTAATTATAAATTAAAAACGAATTTCATTAATTTTATAATCATCCTTATCTAATTTGTTTATATTGTGTTATAAAATTTTTATCAACATTGAAAACTAATTATATTTGTTAATCTATAATTTATCATTAATTAAAAAAAAAATTCATTTGATAATTATAGATGAAAAATAATTTATATTGTGTTATTCAGAAAATTAATTTTCATCTAATTTTAAAATAAAACTAAAAAAAAAAATTCCTACATATTATTTTCTATATATTTTTATGTATACCAGAGTATTTTAAATTTATTTACGCAATAAAGATAATTTTATTATACTCAACTTTTTTTATATCTTAAAATTTGATATTAATTTATTACTAAATATTTTAACTTATAAGTGTTTTTAAATTTAATTTATGTAATGGCAATTATTATATTATGATGAAAAACATAATATATATAAAAAATTATTATTAAATATCTTGAATATATAAACAATAACTTATTTTAATGTTACTTAAATTGATTACATATTTATTTATAGATATTTGTAAAATCATTAAGCCCGCATGTGCGGGCAAAAACACCTAGTGTTTATTTTATACTTTGCGCAGTTATAACTTAAAAAAAAAAATAAACACATGAATGCACTAATATGTGGATAGCTAACACATAGTATTGTCAATACTAGTCTCAGACAATAGATCGGATTGAGTCATCAGACCTTACACAACCAGTTTATATGTCCATCAAGACTCTCAATCATGACATTTCCAGTTGAATGCATTGAACAAAGACAAGACTCTAATGGGTACAAATACAAGCTTTTGACTAGATACTTCCCAATATCTTGTATTAGGTCATTGACTTGTGGACAACAGAGAAATCAGGTGTAAGATGTAGTAGCTATGGGAGTTTTCAGAAGCCAGATGCATGCATCGTTGCTTTGACCTTCCCCGTTGAATCCAGACACAGCTTTATCTTTAAATCTAGAGTCCTTCATAGAGCTACAAAGAATATGTTACCCTGGTGGCTGGTGCCAACAAAAATATCAGCAAGGTTTCAACAATGCCTTCTTGATGAATCTGAAACCTATCGTAATGTTAACAGATATGTCATTTCACTTGATGCCGAGGAACTCTAATCCGATTGCGGTTGGAGTCAACCCGTAGAGAGCCAAGTACTGAGGGTCATGAAACTTGCTTAGATGTCTCATTCCGCTATCACAAAGAATGGTGACAATTGTGTGACCAGGACCAAGGGTCTGAGCCACCCTCACTGCCCCAACACAGTTCATAGACGAGGAGCTTCCAACAAAGAGCCCATCCTTCTTCAAAAGAAACCTGGGAGCATCAATTAAGAGAAGATGTTATGATCGCAACTGTTGTGAATTTTTGTTAGTATTTCTCTACAACAGGTACGTTACCTTGACATCTCAACAGCTTCTTTATCAGTACCACGGAAGCCGCCGTCAAGTTTTGCCATCAGGAAGTTTTTAGTAAGCCTATTGATTCCAATACCTTCTGTTATTGTATCAAATGGGTTTTTAAGACGACGTCCTTCGGCTTCCTCTCTTGTGTACATCACTCCCCTTGTTACTTTATTGTACAGACCAGACCCAGGAGGATCGACCAGGAAGCATTTAACCTTTTCATTCTTTTCCTGTTCAAAGCACAAGAACTTTATGAGCCTTTTTCTTTTGTTTGTTTATAACATATCATTCATGCAGCTGTGATTAAGTGAATACCTGAAGGAACCTTGAAACACCAGCTAAAGTACCGCCAGTACCCGCAGCAGCAACAAAGGCATCGATGTTACCGTTAGTCTGTTGCCAGATTTCAGGTCCAGTACCTTCATAGTGAGCCCTATAATTCGCCAAGTTTTCAAACTGGTCTGCAAAGAAGCCACCTGTAACTGACTCTGAGAATAAGGAAGGCTCACTCTCTTCCTCAGCTATGCAACCATTAGTTTTTTCCTGGATTCCGCTCGCAAGTCTTCTCTTTGATGATGCTAAGTCATTTGCTTCGTCAGCACGTCGCCTAGCAATGTTGACAAAGTGATCTTTGTGAGTAATTGAGACTGGCCTCACCCTCTCAACGGTAGCTCCAAGGGCTTCAATTATTTGAGACTACAACCAAAGTCCAAAACCATCCAAAACTTTTAAGTAGAAAGGCATAGAAGAGAGAGAATATGTAAACATCATGATTAAGGTGTTTAAAAGATATATAGAAAACCTTTTCAATAGCAGCATCATCAGGAATAACAACATGACATTTACACCCATATGCAGGAGCAACAGTAGCAAGGCTAATGGCAGTACTCCCAGCACTACCTTCAGTTACGATTCCTCCCGGAAACAACTTACCAGATTCCAAAGCCTAAACAAAGTAAAGAGAAAAAAAAAATATCACTTTTACCATAAGAAGTTAATAACAGTAACTTGTCTTTGAAGCAAAACATGAACCAAGCTGATTAATATCAATCACCGACATTGCTAAGAGATGAAAACTAAGAACTAGAGCAGAGAGTGTATACCTCTTCGATGATCTTAACAGCAACTCTATCTTTAACGCTACCTCCTGGATTCAAAAACTCACACTTGCCAAGAATCTGAAACAATAAAATAGAATTTAAAGTTAATATGTCTTTCTTTCTTATAATTTTTAAGAAGTTAAAGAAAATTTGACCTCACAGCCAGTAGCCTCAGAGAGGCTATTGATACGAATGAGAGGAGTATTCCCAATGGCATCTACGAGTCCGTTTCTCTTACTCAGCTTCTCCTTCTTCTTCTCATTCTTCTTCTTCTTTTCAGAGGAAGAAGCGTCCAACTTATCTGAGAATCTGAAGAAGGCAACGTAAGAAAGCATCACCATCGTTGCCGCTGCGACAATAGCGCCCGTTATCTTAGCAGGCGCCATTGAAGCAGATCTTTTTTTCAACTTTCTCCGCCGCCTACGTAATCGACCGGTGATGTTATACTTGGTATGTATATATTAGGTTGTCGGAGAAGCAACACTTTTTTCCCGGTTTTTTTTATTTTAACCCCTACTTCTTCATTTAGTTACAGATAAAGGACAATTGTTTTCAAATTGTCAGATACATCCTTCCCCCAAAGATATTGCAATTTCTTTAGATCAAAGATATTGCATTTGATAATGTACTACTAATAACCCACATACTGTATGTAAAAGTTTAATTGATGTTGTTAAGAAAAAAAGGTATAGGAAGAAAATAAAAGTTTAATTCTCAACTCTGACTCTAACCATTTTTTATGTATTATTAGGACTTTTATCTCAACTACTACTTGTTAAAATCCCAATGTTTTTCTCCCTTCTCTCAATTAATAGTAATACTACTCTCATCTCTTTGCACAAGTATCAGTCAATGTTGTACTCTGCTACCATCAAAGCTATATCCCCGTTTTTTTTTTTTTTTTTTTTAAATGAATGTTAAATTTTATTCATCAAAAAAGCCTTTTTACATCAAAGTGTGGACATATTTGAAAACTACAACTTTAAACTTCTATCACAAGTAACTATCTATCTTCTAGTTTCAAACCAAAACTGAAGACCCTTCTCCATCCCCTTCTTTTCCTGCTTTATCAATAGGCTGAGTTTATTTCGAATCCCCTTATCAACAAGCTTCTGTAACAGAGTAATAGCCATCAACTTCTCACCATGACGAACTCTATTCCTCTCCCTCCAAATTGAGTAAACAGCAATTTGAAAAGAGTATCTAATACAGAAGGTACTGACCAAACCCCTCGAGTTTTCAGTTATCCTCTGTGTAATCACATTCCACTCCCCTGAATAATCTCTACCAAGGATTTCCAATGTAAGCGATCGCCAAAGCTGAGCAGAGTAGACACAGTCAAAGAATAGATGCTCTCTGGTTTCTACTCCATTCTTGCAGAGCACGCAAACTGTGTCTATTCCCGGATCCCAAGTTGCAATTCTATCCATTGTAGCTAATCTGTTTAACAAAGCAAGCCAAGCAATGAATGAGAATTTCGGAGTTGCCTTGGGGAACCAAACACCCTTAGACCAGAGACACTGATCATTTGCAGTTCTAATCATCTTCCAAGTATCAAGAGTCGAGAATTTATTTTTAAAACCCGACTTCCCCTTCCACATAGCAACATCCGCAACATTGTGAACCATTTTATCCTTCACGCCTCTTAACTCAGCTTCAATCTCATTAACAACTGCATTTCTGTGTCTCCTTCTCCTTCTAACATCCATTACCGCTTCCTCCAAGGTGGCCTCTCTCCGAATTCCCATTTCAATAATACCTCTAGCACCCATAACATCAAGCATAGTTCCTTTCTCCGACCACTTGTCAAACCAGAAAGAAATATCCCGCCCATTACCCACATCCTTGCGAAAGAAAAGCTTAGCAACTTCTCTCATCTTTTAAATTTTCCGCCACATCCATGATCCTGCTTGACTCTTATTTTCAACCTCCCAAAAATTCTTCTTCTTAAGCAGATATTCCCTTATCCAATTCCCCCAAAGAGAAACACCAGCTAAGAATCTCCATATAAGCTTCAGAATACTAACTTTGTTCGTCTCCTGCAAACTTCTAATCCCCAAACCACCTTCACTCTTAGGCTTACAAATGTCTTTCCATGCCACTTTAGCTCCTGTTGCCTTAAGAAAAGGGCCAGACCACAGAAAAGAAGCACAAAGTTTCTCAATCTCCTTCACACACTTGCTAAGAAGCCTGAATACAGCCAGCCAAAAGTTGACTATACTCATCAACACCGCAGAAATCAGCTGAAGTCTACCAGCATAAGAGAGATGCCTACAAGTCCAGGAACTGATCTTGCCTCTGACACGCTCCACAAGAGGGATGTAGTCTTGCTTGCTCATCACTTTAGACATCAGTGGAAGTCCAAGATAGCGGACATGAAGCTTTCCTTCTGCAAAAGGAAAATTCCTCAAGATCCTACTTCTCTCATCCTCCGCAACACCCGCCATGAAAACAGTAGACTTCTCTATACTGATATTCAAACCAGACCACTTAGCAAATTCACCAAAAACAGAAAGCGCCCCCTCAATAGAAGTCTTTGTCCCCTCAACGAAGACCATGAGGTCATCAGCAAAACAAAGATGAGTAAGAGAAAGAGCTTTACATTTAGGGTGAAACTTGAATCTCCTTTCCTTAGCTGCTTTGTCTATCTTATGAGATAAGACATTCATACATAGAACAAAGAGGTAGGGTGAAAGCGAGCATCCTTGTCTAAGTCCTCTGGTGCTTTGAAAATAACCGGCCAACTCCCCGTTGACTTGAACAGAGAACGAAGGTGTGGAGATACAAAGCTTGATCCATCTTATAAATTTACCCGGAACTCCCATAGCCTCCAGAACTTGACAGACAAATTCCCATTGAACAGAATCAAATGTCTTGGAAATATCAATCTTCATTAAGCATCTTGACGAAATATCCTCCTTGTGGTAATCCTTGACAAGCTCTGAGGCGAGTAAAACATTCTCCATAAGCAACCGTCCTTTAATAAACGCAGATTGATTTTCAGTAATCATACGCGGGAGAAGAAGTTTCAGCCTGTTTGCAAGAATCTTTGATACCACTTTGTATATAACATTGCAGCAAGCAATAGGCCGATAGTCTCTCATCTCCATCGAGTCTGATTTTTTCGGAATCAATGCTAGAATCGTCGAGTTGACTCCTTTAGGAAGAAAACCAAACCGAAACACAGATTGAACAGCAACCTTGAAGTCATTCTCAATAATAGGCCAGACTTGTTTGAAGAACTCACAAGGGAAACCATCCGGGGCCGGGGATTTATTAGATGGCATAGCAAATAGCACTCTACAAATCTCCTCTTCCGTAACTTCCTTCTCAAGCATACTACAATCCTCTACTGAGCATCGAAAGTCCAACAAACCCTGCAACTCCTCAGTCGTTGTACCCTCATAAGAAACCGGATTCTGATTAAGGAACTCTGAGAAAAATCTCTCTGCTTCAGCCTTCACTTCAGACTGGCTATTAACAGTGCGACCATCAGGACATCTTATCTCACGAATACAGTTCTGCGCCTGACGAGAGCAAATAGCATTGTGAAAAGTTCTGTTATTAAGATCACCCTTCTCCAACCAGTGAAGTTTAGCTCTCTGCTTGAGGAAATCTTCCTTTAAACCCGCAATGTATAGCCACCTCTGGTAAGCCTCCGCTTCCTCTTGAATGGCTACACTACTCGGGTGAGCAAGAGTATTTTCTTGCTTCTTGCATAAATCTCCATGCGCCTATCTCATCATCATAACTAAGATTATCTCTTTGACAGTTGGCGACTGATTAACACCAATTGCATCTTACATGTGGCTAAGACTAAGAGTGTCTATGATAACCTTCCAAAGTATCTGTTTCTTTACCTAACTATTTAAAACCCCCTCTGCTGCAGGATCTGTCAAAGCTGAACAGAGACCCCAAGAAGATTCTGTATGTTAGCGGGAATGCTTTTGATACAAGCCTTCAGCCAGAGAATTACGTGCCAATCAAGCCTTACAAACTCGAGTCCGATGACACGGCGCTTGTCGACCTAATACCCTTTCTTGAATGTAATTATGGTTCAAGTCCAGTTTTTTGAAGTGTGCTTTTATCAATATTGGTTGGTTTAACGTTCCTATTTGTTTGTGTCTACAGATGTTGCACGTAACGGTCCAGCTGAAATTAGACCGGTCCTAACCTCCTTCGAGAGAAACAATGTTGCGAAAGAGTTCCTTGAGAGGTCCATCAGTGAAAATGCAGGCGAATGCAAGAACAACGAGGACAAAGACAAGGCCGATTATAGAGGCGTTAAAAGAATCATAAAACATTTTATTATGTATAGTGAGAGACGATTAATATCTCCGTTAATGCACACCAATATTGAAACGGTAACAATGGCTACTGTTCTGCGCAGTGGGATTTAAGTAGACTTTGAAAGTTGGAATCCAGTCTTTTTCATCCGAGAGTTTATGTTCTTACCTGATTTTTGCTCATGTGACCTTTTGTCTCCGCTCGCTTTACGAAGTAAGCTTTTCCAAAAGAACCAAATATGAATGGAAGGTTCCTTTTCTTTAGGTTAATAACAAATATATTTTGATTTGTTGCATATTTTCTGATTTCAAAGGCCCCAAAATTCCAACTAGATAATATAATTAATGATGATTCTATTTATTTAACCCATCGTTATACATACATGTAGGTTAAACCAACCTATATTGTCACATTAGAGGATGTGTCAAAGGATGATTTAGTGGCAATTGACAAATAATTAAAGATTACTCCCTCTGTTTCACTTTATTTGTCATTCTAGGTTTTTGCATACAGATTAAGGAAATATTTAATTTTTACATATTTTCAAGATAAAAACACAATTACCTATACACCTAACCACTTTTCAACCAATAGAAAAATAGAATATTATATAAAATAATAAATTTTGCTTCGAAACTTTAAAACGACACTTAATTTGTGACAAAAAAATAAGTCTAAAATGACATATATTTTGAAACGGTGGGAATATTACATTTCCCAGTTCGTTCAAATAGATTAAAGTATACAATTTGGAAATATTTCATCATTGACTAGTGAATAGAGCCTCTATTATAGATGTATCTGTAACATGACAATAGTTTTACTTTTACCTCACCTGAAATTTCTCACTGTAAAACAAAAAAAAAATATATATATATATTTTAAGAATTTACTCACCGGTCAATAGTACTAATAAAATGTCTTCAAAGAATATACTACTAGTGACTGAAAGATTCCAAGTGAAATAAAAATTAATCAGATAGTACTAATTAGAAGAGCGAGATGTATGATTAGATTCAGGCTACCTTGAATTTATGGAGTCTTGAAAAGTCAAAGGACGAAGGCTTCACGTAAGTTTAGACAATCATAGACATACGTCACTACAAACGTCACCTTTCTTTTTCTTTTGGAGCCTCCTTTTCCTTTTAGCTTTACAAACAGGGTACAATTTCTTAATTGTTGTTTTCTCATTTAAATAACAAAATCTAATCATACAATAACTATTCTGTAAGTGTTGTGCCAATAGAGAGCACATTGAAAATCCTAGTTACACTTTTATCAAAATATACTGACCCTAAACTATTTTCTTTCTTTCTTTGAACTAGCCATTCAAGTAGATTAAATATACAAAATACTATATAAATAAACAATTTAGGAGGTTAAAAGAAAAAGCAGGTGGCACAAAAAAATTCATGTGTGACTGATGAGCCTTGAATGTGTAGATAAGCAGAAGAATTTTTTGTTTTTTTGGTCATCAATCAGAAGAATAGCTAATATTTACTAGGAATAAAGCAAGAAAAGTTACAAAACTGAAAGCGTCTGTCCGTGTGTTGCTTGTCATATCAAGTTAACAACCTCTTACAATTTAACACAAAAACATTAAAGAATACAAAACTATACCTTTGTGTTTCAAAAAGAAAATACAAAACTATACCCTTTATAGATATGTTTATTACTCAGAGGTCGTTGGCATCTCCTATATAAGCTTTGCTCATCTTCATTCTCCACACAACCATTCACACTTTCCTCCCTATAACATCTTCTTCCAAGCCCAAATATTTTAAATGGCACGCTGCATCCACACCCATCTTCCTCAAGACGACAATTCTCGGTTCCATTACATGAACCTCTTCCCTGATCGGATTTCACGAACACCCACCACGACAACCTCAAACCCAACCTCTCTGGTCGGTGATGATGATATCTGGATCAAGATGCTCAAAGAAGCTAAATCCAACATCGAGCAAGAACCCATTCTCTCAACATACTATCACTCCTCCATCACATCACACCAATCCCTAGCTTCCGCTTTAGCCAACATCCTCTCCCTAAAGCTCAGCACTTTAACCTTACAACCCAACACCCTCTTCCAACTCTTCATCACCGTCTTACAAGAAAGCCCAGAGATCATCGAATCCGCGAAACGAGACCTATCAGCAGCCAAAGAAAGAGACCCAGCTTGCTTAAGCTACGTCCACTGCTTCCTAAGCTTCAAAGGCTTCCTCGCTTGCCAAGCTCACCGCATCTCCCACAAGCTATGGAGACAGGACAGAAAGATCCTCTCTTTACTCATCCAAAACAGAGTATCCGAAGCCTTCGCCGTCGATATTCATCCCGGGGCTGAGATGGGGAAAGGGGTTTTGTTGGACCACGCGACGGGGGTGGTGATCGGAGAGACGGCGGTGGTTGGAGACAACGTTTCGATTTTGCACGGGGTGACGCTTGGGGGAACGGGGAAAGAGTGTGGTGATAGGCATCCGAAGATTGGTGATGGGGTTTTGATTGGAGCGGGGAGTTGTGTGTTGGGGAATATTGTGATTGGAGAGGGGGCTAAGATTGGATCGGGGTCGGTGGTGGTTAAGGATGTGCCGCCGCGTACGACGGCGGTTGGAAACCCGGCGAGGTTGATTGGTGGGAGGGAGAATCCGAGAATGGTTGATAAGGTTCCTGGTTTGACTATGGACCAGACATCGTATTTGACCGAGTGGTCTGATTATGTTATCTAAAGACTAAAGTGTAATTACTACTATTTGTGTCTTTGCTCTGTGTTTTCTTGTAATTAAAATCAAAAGCTAAGAGTTGTTGTCTGCTTTGAAAAGTTATAATCTTATTACTGAGAATGAAAGTATGAAAGACATAATAGTGTGATCATGGAGAAGTAAGTAACAGAGAGGAAGAAGACTATTCTTCTTTGCAATTTTAACTTTGCTTTACTTTACACTGAGATCTAATTCATTATACAGTTTCAAATTCTGCTCCTCCACCTCCAAACGTTTTAGAGCTGCAGACACTCAATGCAATACCACATATTATTAGCAAACAGTGTTTTTGTTCATGTATACAAACTTCAGTGCTTATAACACACACTATTTTAAGATGCTTTTTCTTCCCAAACACCTTAAATTTTTTACAGACTTTCTTGCAAAATACTTGAGAAATCTATGCGATAAAACCAGTTAAAGATGTTTTGCTGTTTTAATCAGTAGATAAAGGCGTGATAGAAGTTAATTAGGTTGGTCTGAGCCAATCTTCTTAAGCTTGGTCTGTTTAATATATGAACACAAAATTCATCTTCCAGCTATAAGGTACAACACTTTGAAGACCAAAAACCTATCAGCAGAATTCATGTGGTTTTGAGTCAATAAACAACCCCAATGACAAAGGGGGTTCTTACTTTAAATACTGGTGTTCTGGGCGGTCTGCTTCAGAGGAGTGTCACGCTTGTTCAGCTTCGTCAAGAGGTAAGCTAATGCTACTTTAGCACCTAAGGCTGAGTGACCACGTGACAAACATATAGCGCCACCCACAAGAACCAGACCTTTTGCTATCAGTTTCTTTGATGGCTTTCTCAATAACTTCTTTTGTTTTGCTACTTGACTCAATATTTCTTCACCACCGTTAGTTCCCATGGAGGTTGTGACATCCACTGTCTGACTTTCTAACTCTGATGGAACCTGTAGGAACAAAAACGAGGATGTCAAAAAGAAGGCTAACATGTGAAACCAAGCCCAAGAACAAACCGGTTGCTTCATGCATAACTTAAAATTGGAATATCCGACCAGCATCTCACCTTTGCGATTAAGGTGAGAGCAGATAAAACGGACGCTTGGGGTGGTCTATGACTGATTGCAATGTAATTACGAAATGCATTTTCCATCTTACAAACGTAACTCCATATTCCTTTAGAGAAAGCGAGCTTGGCCATCTCAACATTCAACCCTGCATTCTCCTGGTGAAACATTTTGATCTCACAAGCATTTCTTCCGGGAACTGCACAGAGATTAAAGGTTGGCAAAGGCAATCAATTAATGATCTATTCAAATGATAATTGTTAAGTTGAATCATGGATAAACACGCCACTCACCTCTCCTGATCCGCCAACCAGATCTAAAGTAACTCACACGTACATACTTCCTCTGTCGCGGTACCATATCATGATCACATTCCTAGTGAATAAACCAAAGAGCACACACTTTTAAAAAAAAGTTGAAGTGTCAGGCTCCTTGACAAGAGAGAAGGAAGTTTGAGTTCATTTTATAGAGAGAAAAAAAAAAGAAACCTTAGTGAAACAGTAGAAGCTGTCCTTTCCCTCCCACAACTTCCAAGCTAGAACGTACTCTCTTGATGTCAACAAAGGAAACTTTTTAATAGTGCGACCAATCTCAATTCCAGTATTGCTATCAACCTGAAGTTGGTGATGATCAACAACTGTCTTATCCCATTGCTTCCTGAAATCATTGTCCATGTAAAAATCCTTCAAAATCTCAGGGGAGCAATCCTCAAATACAGTAACACTTAGGTACTTCATAGGACCACCATCCTAACAACAACAAAAAAAAACAAGAACCAATGAGGGGAGGGAGTGTGTTATACTTAGCAAAACCAAATCCAACTAGAAAAAAACGATATAATTACCTCAGGCTTGCAGCGTTGAGCAGAGTATGAAACCCGATCGTTGGTTTTGTGAATAACATGTTCCCAGATGTTAGCAGCAGTAGGCTCTCTGCTTCCCTCCAGATTTTGGATCAACCATTTCAAATCTTCATCAGAAACAAGTGTGGATGTCCTAGAGAAAGCATATAGAGTTAACAACTGTGAATGAAATCACACCAAAAGGATTCATCTACTAAACAAGAAGACGATACTGAGGATGATTCGTTTGGTTACTAATAAGCTCAATGACAATTTGAAAGCAGCGTAGCTTAATTAAGCATAGGCAACAACCCAAGTGACTTTGGGAAGAAAAACAAAGGCAACAACCCAAGTGAGAGAATCTAAGACAGAGAACATAGAAAAATATATATCATACCTTGATTGGATTTGGGGATGGGAAAGAGAGTCTGCAATGGAGGGAGAAGAAGGAGAGGCAAAGAAGCGAAATTTGAAGATACGAAAGAGAAAGATTAAGAGAAGCGAAATAGCGGTGGCCCAAGCTCCATCAGAAACAGAAACAGAAACAGCTGGTCGGAGAAATACGTCGGAGAATAGATCCTTGGTTACGCTATTCATCTTCGAAGAATCTGGTGTAGAGAGGCTTTTTTGCGCTTTGTTTGCGAAATTGGATTTTAAGAAGTCATTGTTGGCGTGTACAATTCCGGTCTTCTTCAGGGCAACTTTACTCAAGTCATGTCTTGTCCTTGCTTGTTCCAGTTGCCGAGCGACCAAGCCAACCGCTTCCTTACTCTTTTTTTCTCTGCCTTATTTTTTTTTATCTCTCCCCCTAAGATTTTACTACTTCTTCTATTTTGACCCTTTCTTTTTCTTTTCTAACAATTTCACCCCTTTCTTTGACCCTTTCTTTTTCTTTTCTAACAGTTTCACCCCTTTCTTAGACCCTTTATAATCAAAGCGCCCCCTCTCAGTTTTGTTTGTGAACCAATGGTTACTGCTATTTATACACCAAGAAAAACATTAGTATCATATTGCCAGGTCAGACTCTCTGATTTAAGACCACAGACTGAACCAAACCACACACATATATTTTTTTTTTTTTTTTTTTTTTTTTTTTGTCGGCCGCCCATTTGCACTAGACCAAGTGGTGACCAGTCGAGTCGATTCTCCAAGGAGAAACTTCGTCTGGCCGGGTCTGGTCTATATGGGAAAATGAAAAACCTCTACTCCTTGCTTCCTTAGCCAATGCATCCGCTCGTCCATTTCTGTCCCGTGGGATATGAGACAGACTCACATCCACGAAATCCTCCCGTAGTCGCTGAAACATCTCGATCTCCGTCGCGAAAGCCGGCCAGTCCTCCGGTCTAGTAGACATGTCCACTAGATCCGAACAGTCC